TGAACGGTTACTAAAAAAACACCGATCCCATAAAAAACAAATAAAGATCGATGAGAACATACTTGAGTCATTTATTAAAGTTTGAAGACAAATAATTAATTGGTTTAAAAAATATCAATTTATTTTTTTTAAATTACAAAATAAAGAATTCTTTTTTTTTTTTTTTTTTTTAAAAAAAAAAAGGAATTTGATATATTTTGTTAAATTATAACTTTACTTTTCATTATTTAGTGTAAAACTTGAAATAATATTTTACCAATCCTTGATAAAACTTAAAATAAAAGTAGATTCATTAATCTAATTGCAAATAAATTATATTAGAAAATATACTATAAAAAAAAAAATAATAATAATAATAATCAAAATTATCACCTCTTGTTCTTCCTCTATAATAATTTCGCCACCTTCGGATTTTTCAGAAACAGGTAAAAGAGGACGTTTCAAAACTTTAATAATAAAATCCGATTGAGATTTTAAGACCTTTTCAATTTGATTATCAATGTCTTTTGTAAATTTATAATACATTAAAACTGGATCAAAAGGATGTAATCCCGCCTGCAAATTGAAAAGGAAAAAAATAATAATAATAATACAAATTTTATAAATTTTTTATATATTTTAAATAAATAAAAATATTATCTTTTTTTACCTTCTTTCTAAGCCTTTGCACACGATTAACAATTTCTCGTGCACATCCTTCTTCTTGTAAATCTTGATAAACTTGTACGTCCAAAAGGATCAAGACATCCTTATCATTGTTCGTTTCATAATGACTATTAGCATCCTTGAAATATCTGATCACTTGCAGGTCCTCTTCGACGATTTTAATTCCGTTAATCATAATCTCTTTAGTTTGAACAAATTCTTTAACTTGCTCGGAGGTAAGTTCAGGTAAAGCATTTTTAACCTTATTAAGGTCCTTTCTCAGTTTCTGACCCAATACTTTCAAGTCGGCTTCTACTCGATATTTAATACCATATTTATCTTCGTCAGATGTGACAATAAGATTTTTAATATTTAGTTCCTGATTAATTATGAAAATTATTCTATTAATAATAAAAAAAAAAATTTACAATGCTTATCATAAATGTATAAAATTTTACCTCAACAATATAATTCTTTAGCGATAGAACATCAGAATGATATTGAGGATCCGAATGAATGACAATCAGTTCTTTTAAAGGTGTCTATTTTATATATATATATATTTTAATAATACATGGAATGTATAAATACAATGTTTAAAGATCTTCAAACCTTAAGTCCAATATTTTTTTTCTCACGAATATAACGGCCCAATTCTATAACTGATTGCATACGTGAAACACATCTCTCAATCTCTAAATCGAAATACTCTTCTCGAACTTCCGGGAACAATAAGAAATGCACTGAGCGAACATCTTCGGTAGAATTAGATGATGGAAGATATTTTCGTAAACTTTGATACATATATTCAGTAAGGAAAGGAGTAAATGCAGCCTATCAAAGATAATGAAAAAATTATTTAGTTAAATAAATTAAAATATAAGAATACTTGATTATGTAGATATCAAGAAATTAAAATATTTTACCATAGAACGACTTAAGGTAAACAATACTTCATAGAGTGCATTTAGCGCGTTCACAGCATCTTCAGAACCATTTTCTCCTTTCAAACGCTTGCGGTTAAACCTAACATACCAATTTGTCAACTGTTCAATCATACTAAGTAGTCGAGGCACGACTGTGTATAAATGGTACACTAAATAATGAAGTTTTAATGTGAATATCATTTGTGACTGTAAAGAAAATGTTATCACGGAATATTCTTTACCTTTCATCTCTTCTCGAACAAATTTTATCAAACTTTGTGAACACGCTAAAATCCATCTATCCATAACGTTGGTTGATTGCTTAGCCGATGGATTGTAAAGGAATTCTATACCTGATTCCTGTATTAATAAATTAATTAATTATCAGCAATTAATAATATCCAAAAATACATTATAAATTATATTAACGACCTTCTGAAGAAGAACCACTTGTGATATGAAGAATCTATAAGCATTAAACCAAGGTAAAAACACTTTTGAAATAACTTCTTTGACTCCCTCTTCTTTAAATTTCAAGGGTTCGGCACGAACTACCGGAGAGTTAATAAGATATAATCTTCGTAATAGAAAATAATTAATGTAATTATGTGATATTAAATACAAATTATGTTTATATAAAACTATTTTAATCTCAACCTCAAAGCATCAGCACCATATTTATTGATGATAGACGTGGGTTCGGGATAATTTTTGAGCCGTTTGCTCATCTTTTTCCCGTCGCTACAAATAATTAACTAATTAAGATCTCATTCATAATTCTTAAAAATCCGAATAATATGAATACATAAAATAATACATACGATGCTAAAACCAAACCGTTAACAATCAAGTTTTTAAATGCAGGTTTATCAAACAAATGAGTCGACAAGACCATAAGAGTATAAAACCATCCACGGGTTTGATCTAATCCTTCTGCGATAAAATCAGCAGGAAAAGATGATTCAAATTTTTCTTTGTTTTCAAAGGGATAATGACATTGGGCATAAGGCATACTTTTTTAAGAAATATTAATAAGATTTGAGAATCTTTTATAACTAATTTCTCAAAAAAAAAACAGAATAAATTATTAAAACCATTTCTGCAAACCTGCCAGATTCAAACCAGCAGTCAAAAACTTCTTCTACTCTTCTCAATTGACCGTTTCCCTTCTTTGAAGGGATAGTTATGTGATCAACTTTATCACGATGAATATCGGTCAATTTATCACATCCAGATAATTCTTCTAATTCTGCTAACGAACCAATACAAACGATCTATATTCATAATGAAATATAGAAGGTGAGAAGGATAACTCTCAAATAAAAGCAAAGTTGAGCAACAAAAAAAAAAAAAACAAAAAAAAAACCTCGCTATAGTCGTCGCTAACCCAAAGAGGAATTGGAGTACCCCAATAA